CAGGGGGACTTCTGGGACTGGGGCAAATGCCGAAGGCACTCCTGGGAAAGCCAGGTGGCTGCCCCCTCCCCACTGGGCCTTTCCACAGAGCAGGACAAGAGAATCGGGCTGCAACCCCCTCGGCCCCCTTGGCGGAATGCCCCCCAGGCGTGGCCCAGAGTCACTGACCGGGCTGGTGAAGAAGGAACAGGGACCTCCCCCCCCCTCGTGCCAGGTCCATCTGAAGCCAGCTGTTCAGTGCCAGAGTCCAACCTCTGGGCATGTGCAGAGCGCCCCCGTCCTTCTGCCTCTGGGCAGGGCTTCCTTTGGCCAGTCCAGCCCCTGCAGGCAGCCCCACCTCTCCATCCTCCTCGGGATGGGCCCAGCGTCACACACGGGACAACAGGCGGCCGGGGGGGTGGGGGGGATTTGATTGGCCAGCAGACCCCAAGTCCCTTCTCCTGCGGGCACGAAGACTCCTTCCAAATCCCTCGGTGCCAGCAGTAGGACCTGACGCTTGGGATTCCCCGGCTCAGAGACCCACCCAGACAGCAGCGAAGGAAATGCCACGGGGAAATCCTCGGTCTCTCCACCAGCGGGCAAGAGTTCACACAGGAGCACTCTCCTTCTAGAGCCATGCAGGGGGGGGGAAGGAAGGACTGGATCGCTGCCTCCCCCCCTCCACACACACACACACACACACACCGCAGCCGTATCCGGAACACTAGAAGGGGGCGCCCTTGGCATCGGTGCTGCGGCAGGAGGCGGGCACTGCGGGGCACTGCGGGGCCCGCTTCTTCCGCACGGGCGACAGGCCCTCGCCCGCGGAGCCGGTGTCGGCGGTCCCCTCCGCCGAGGGCAGCAGCTTCCGCTTGGCCGGGCAGCCACCGGCACCGCCTCCGGAAAGCCAGGCGCTCGAGCACGGCGTCTTCTCGGAGGAGCCCGGCCCCCTGGCGCCAGGGCCCCGGGCTGCCGGCGGAGTGCCAGGCTCTGGGTGCCCCCTGGCCACAGGGCATCTGCCTCGCGGGGCGTGTTGTGCAAGCTTGTGCAAGTCAGGATCAAGTAGGAAACTTGGGCTGCCAGGCCTCTCGACCGGCTGGGCTCCGTTCTCCTCCTGCCTCCCGGCGGGGCCAGAGTCCGTGGGGCGACCCCTCCGCAAGGCTGGGGCACGGTCCGTCGTGTGCAAAGTGCTGCAAGGTGTGGGTGGCGGCGGCGGCAGGGCCTGGGCGGCGCCCCCTTTCGCACTGGCCTGGTCCGCCTCCCTGGCAGCGCAGTGGCTGGGGCTTCCCTCCCGGCGGTGCTCGACCACCCGCAGGCCGCTGTGGGAGAAGTGCTGAGCCATGCCCCCCAGGGCCAGTTCGCCCACCACCAGGCCGTCCTCGATGGCATCGTCCCCCTCCTCCTCCTCCTCCTCCCCCCCTTCCCAGCGGCCTCGCTTGGCGTCCCACTCGCCCTCGGCCCCCCTCCGCGTCCCCCCCCTCCGCTGGGGCTCCGGGCAGGCCCGCTTGAAGGGCTGCCGACCGGGGGCCCTCTGCTCCGGCGGGTGGGAGCAGCCGGCCAGCTGGGAGAAGATGGAGACCTGGTAGACCTTCTGGCACACCAGCTCCGGGGGGCTGCAGCCCATCACGACCCCGTGGGGCCGACACCAGGGGCGGGAGTCCTCCTCTTCCTCCTCCTCCTCCTCCTGGCTGGCCCCTGCGCTGCACTCCTGGGGGAGGCCGGCCTCCGCATTGATGTGCCGCATGGGGCGTGGCGGAGAGGGCAGGCGCTAAAGTGCCGTGGGATCAAGAAGTCCAGGCGGGCCCCCTGCTACGACGCCTGCCGTGGGGCCACATCTACAAGGAGAGAAGGAAGGCTGGCAAAAAAGGCTCGGCGGCCCACCTTATTACTCCCCCCCCCAGCACACACTGATACTCCCCCCTCCTCCCCCAGCCCTTTACTTGGCCCCCTCCCTCTGGGCAGGGTCTGCGCGGTCAGGCCTGGAACAGAACCAGCACCGTTGTTCGGGGGCCACTTTTCATACCTGCCACCTCCCCTTCAGCCAAGGGCTTGGAATCTGTCAGACCAAATACCCCCCACACACACACCCACACCCCATTTGGAATCTTCTGGACACCTCCCACCCCCGCGGACTGCTCTAGGGCTCCCTCGGCGCTCCACCCACCCTGGGGAGGCCCCTCATCTCAGGACTGGAGCTCAGGCCGCCAGGCCTGCACACGCCTTCCAGTCCGGCTAGGGCCAGAGGAGGCAGGCAGCTGAGCCAATCGGCCAAGGGAGCAAAGGGGCAGCCGGAGCAGGCCCTTCCCCCTCCAGAGGAGTGGCCTGGGGGGGGTGGCCAGGAAAGTCTCCCAGGGGAGAAAGCCTGGCCCAGAAGTCAAGCGCTGGCATCCAGCTGCTCCAGAGTAGAAGAAGAGGAGGTTGGATTTATACCTCTTGCCCTTCACCGGGAGTCTCAGAGTGGCTGACAGACTCCTTTCCCTCCCCCCTCCCACCACAGACACACTCGTGGGGCTGAGAGAGCTCTTGACAGAAGCTGCTCTTGAGAAAACAGCTCTGAGAGAGCTTGTGACTGACCCAAGGTCACACCAGTGGCTGCATGCAGAGGAGTGGGGAATCAAACCCGGTTCTCCCAGATTAGAGTCCGCACGATTAATCACTAAGCCAAAATGGTACCTACCCCTCTGCAACCAATCCCTACGCCTGGCTGTCCGGCTCCCCTGGCCCAGCAGCAGATGACTACTGGCGGAGCTCTCTGGCGACACCAGCCACCACGGCACCCCCCAGAAGCGGCGCGGCTGCCGGGGAATGGCTCCCACCATCACGGGCTAGGACGGGAGCTCCGCCTCCAGGCCTCCTCCAAGTCCCCGTCGGCTGGCAAGGAGACTCAGCAGCACTGGGGAGAAACAGAGGGCAGGGACGAAGGAGAAGAAGAAGAGAACAGATTTATCCCCTTGCCCTTCACTACCCAAGGGAGTCTCAGAGCGGTTTACAAGCTCCTTCCCCTTCCCCTCCCCACAACAAACAGACACCCTGTGAGGTAGGTGGGGCTGAGAGAGCTCTTGACAGAAACTGCTCTTTTTCAAGGACAGCTCTGAGAGAACTGTGGCTTGCCCAAGGTCATCCAGCAGGTGCAAGTGGAGGAGTGGGAAATCAAACCCGGTTCTCCCAGATTAGAGTCTGCGCACTTAACCACTAAGAAGAAGAGGAGGAGGAGATTGAATTTATCCCCTGCCCTTCACTACCCAAGGGAATCTCTGAGCGGCTGACAAACTCCTTTCCCTTCCCCTCCCCACAACAGACACCCTGTGAGGTAGGTGGGGCTGAGAGAGCTCTGAGAGGAACTGCTCTTTTTTAAGGACAGCTCTGACGGAACTGTGGCTTGCCCAAGGTCATCCAGCCAGGTGCAAGTGGAGGAGGAGTGGGGAATCAAACCCGGTTCTCCCAGATTAAGAGTCCGCGCTCCTAACCACCACACCAAGCGGGCTCCCTGTGAACACAGGAGCAGGGCCCGGGGGGTCCTACCACCACATGGCTACCGGCCCCCCACCCTGGGGCACGGCCCTCCAGTCTGGCATCCCAAACATCGTGGGTCCCACGCCCTTTCCTCTCCCCTCCCCCCACCCCAGACCTCTAGTCTCAGAAATCCGACAAGGGACACGTCGAAACAGACCCGAAAGCTGCCTGCTCCTGAGCCAGACCTTTGGCCCACCGCGATCAGTACGGTCTGCTCGGACTGGCAGCAGCTCCCCAGGTAGAGTAACCAAAGAGGGTAACTTCCATGATTCAGGGGGGCTCACTGGGTTGGTCTGAAGCAACAGAACACAGTTCAAGTCCTGTCAGGCACCTTTAAGGCCAAAGGAGTTTCATACCCAGAATAAAACTTTGTTGGTCTTAAAGGTGCCCGACTGGACTCAGACTTTGTTCTATAGACAGGTCCAGGGGTCATTTCGTAGAAAAAGAGGTGCAGGAGCTCATTAGCATAACTTATTCGCATAACTCATTTGCATAGGCCACGCCCCCTGACATCACCGGAAGTGTGTCAGAAGGCAACACCCACCGCTCAGGCGCCACTGGACTCTTTTGGATTGCTAGCTATTGGTGGGGGGGACGTGCAGATCTGTCCTCGCAGAGGAGGGAGAGCTCGTACCTGAATAAAACTTGGTCTTAAAGGTGCCACTGGACTGTTTTGGACCAGGGGGAGCTCTGCAACTTACCTGGCTGCTTCTTGCTCTGACTGAGGGCTGCTGGGAGCAGGGGGTGGGGCTTGCTGCATGTGCCCGCCCCCTGGGCTCTTTACTGCCAGAGCTCCGCTCCTGTGCACTCCTGCAGGAAATGACCCCTAGATAGGTCAAGGTGGGTCGCTGTGTCAGTCTGTCTGTAGCAGTGGAAAAGAGCAAGAGTCCCCGAGCACCCAAAAGCCTAAAAAGACAAGTGTAGCGGGGGGGGGGGAGCTTGCGTGAGTCCCTGCTCACTGCTTCAAACCTCCGAAGTGAGCAGGGACTCAAGATCCTCCCCTGCCACAAATGTTGTCAGTCTTTAAGGTGCTCCTGGACTCTTGCTCTTTTGGTCTATAGAGAGTAACTCAGAGTAACTTGCATTAGTAACTACGCAGGAAGCACATTCCTTTTTTCATCCCATGTTGCCTCCAAGAAGAGATGAAGCCCCCTGCCCAGGAAGACAGGCAGGCAGGCAGGCAGAGACACCAAGTCAGCACTCTTTGCCTTTTCAGAGGTCTTGCAAACCCAGCAGCTCTGTGAAACCTGCATTAGCCAGTTCTTGCTATCTGCTGAAATGCTGAACTGCAATGCTGAAACCGTGGCCAAATCACTTTTGTCGGCCTAGACGGGAGGGATTTCGGCCAGGCTCGACTGAAGCGATAAAACTGCTCCCCTTTGGTCCCAGCGGAAGAAAAAACTTGCTTTCTTCCAAAACCCATCGATCAGATTATGCAGGCAGGCAGGCAGGTGATAATAATATGCAAAGTACACCCCCCCCCCAGGTGGCACTGTTACTCCAAGCAATCAGGAAGAATTCTTCCTCCAAAGTGCCTGATATGCAAATGAGACACCTGATTAACATTTAAATTGCCACCATTTCTAAATCAATCCACCCCTGTCCTGACACAAGTATGCACCTCAGGGAAGGGAAGCCCTCCCCAGAAAGGCCACGCCAAACGGGTTCCACATTCAGAGCTGACACAGCACAACAAGGTAAGGGAGGGGGGGCAGGGGTGGGGCCTGTGGCTCTACCGTCCCCTGAACCACAAACTTGGCGAGAGGCCTTCAGTGGGTCCCTGTGGGGCAGCACCCTGAACCACCCGGGGGACCCAAGAAGACTTGGCCTGAGGAAGGAGCCTGCCCACCCCCAGCCTCTTCCCCCCCAGCTCTGGAGTTCGATAGCTCCCATGCCGCCACCAAGGTGGGCCCGATCCAAGCCTCTGCTTGCTCCCTCCGGCCTTTCCTCAGGCCCTTTATCGCCTCCATTACAGCCTCCATAAGAGGAGACTTCCTGCGCAGTATGGGGCGTCGCTGCCCTCAGGACAGAGGCAGGGCATCTGCTTGCCTTTCACCGCCCCCCTCCCACCATTACAGGCAGGGGTCATTTCCTGCAGGAGCGCACAGGAGCGGAGCTCCGGCAGTAAAGAGCCCCGGGGGGGCACATGCAACAAGCCCCACCCCCTGCTCCCAGCAGCCCTCAGTCAGAGCAAGAAGCAGCCAGGTAAGCTGCAGAGCTTTCCCCGCCAACCGGTCCAAAACAGTCCAGTGGCACCTTTAAGACCAAGTTTTATTCAGGTACAAGCTCTCCCTCCTCTGCAAGGACAGATCTGCACATTCCCCCTCCCCCAATAGCTGGCAATCCCAAACAGTCCAGTGGAGCCTGAGCGGTGGGTGTTGCCTTCTGACACACGTCCGGTGATGTCAGGGGGTGTGGCATATGCAAATGAGTTATGC